CGGGGCATACTTATTGCCACAGGGGGGCTGGGAAGAGAGATTTAGCAAAGCATTGGACCAGTTTCCCTTGGAAAATCGCTGTGCGAAAGTATTGGAGCAATGCAGGAGAGCCCCGGGTGTGATGGGGGAGAAGGGGTGAGGAGGAAGAGGTGGGCAGCACCCTTGGGTGCTTGCTACATCGGGGACAGTCCCCCAGCGTGCTGGCCCCTCAAGCAGTGGGGAGGCTGATAGCAGGGACGGTCCCCTCCGCCGAGAGGGGAGGTTGCGGTCCCTGCCTGCGCCAGCTCCGATGCTCAGTGCGTTTCCTGCCACCTCACTCCCAGCAGCTTCTGGGCATCAGACGAGCTGCCCCCCAAAAGGTGCTGCCGTGGACGAGCACGTGTGGTTGAGCCATGTTCCAGGTGGGGTGGGTGAGCTTTTGTGGGTGATTGGGGCTGAGAAGCGAGGTCCTGGAGCAAAGTGGGGGAAAAACAGCAGCCGTGTCTTTGGAGGTGCCATCCTCTAAGCAGACAGGTCACCCACCTCGTCCCCCCTCTCCTTTCCCGCGTGGCTTTCAGGAGGGAGGGCGTGCACCCGGCTCTGCCACCTTCACCGCCGCCTGCCCATCCCGAGTCCGTGCCGTCCCGCAGGCTCCTTAATCCCCGGTGAGCCAGTGGGCTGAGCAGGGAGCTCGTGATGGATCTGCCCGGGTGAGCAGCAAGGCGGAGAGGAGCACCATGCGGAATACGAAAGATTCCCTTGCGCCGAGGCATGATAAAGCCCGCGCAGCACCTTCCCCCTCGCAGACCCCGCCATCGGGATTTCCAGACACCAATCCCTTGTAAATCTCCTGCTGGCCTTTTATGACCTGCAGAGTCATTTCAATTCAGTGTTTTCAACCTCTAAATCTCCTGTCCTTAGCCCTCAGTGACTTCTGGGGAAAAAAGTGCGCTCCTTAAATTGCCACAGCCAGGACAGTCCCTGCACCACAGCCTGCTGGAAATCTGCAGGTATTTCACACACGTGCTTTATTTTTGGTAATTCCTCTAATTTTTCTTGCTGTTGGAACCACACAATTGACAGCCTGAGGTCTGAAGCCCCCAGGAGGTTTTGGTGGCTGCTGTGTGCGCGCACAGGACCCCTGCCCGGCTCCCCGGTGCGCTGCCTGCATCCCGGGCATCTCGCAGTCTCTGCACGCAGCGCACCTTAAGATGGACTGATTGATCTGTAACACTTGAAAAATAATGGTTTAGTCATTATTAAGGATTAGAAATAATCCTTGAGCTGTATTGATCACGGTAACATTATTCATGATGAACTCATTTGGCATTAATGGGGACATCCTGCAGCAGTGCGTGGCTCCAAGCAGACCCATCACCTTCCCCATGGAGACATGGCCGGGGGGGGGGGGTGTTGGAGCAGCAGCACCTTCCCAGCCCTAACACACCACTCCAGGTCCTGCTTGTGAGCAAAGCTGTCCCAGGTAGTCCCCTTGGGGACTCTGTCCTTGTTGCCACGGTTTTGGAGGGTCCCAAAGCCAGCGATCACCCATCCCTTTCATGCCAGCAGCCCATCTCTGGGCAGGGGCTGGCTGGGGCTCCCCTCTAGCACCAGCCGGGGATGGCACAGGACGGGACTGCTCCTATGGGAGCCCCCCAACATGGCATCGCTCCAGCCATGTCCCCCCGCAGGGATGGAGGCGGGCAGAGGATCCCCTGTTGCAGAGGAGGGAGGGATGGCTGGCTGCCCGCTTAGTCCCTCTCTCCTCCCAGTCCCTGTCTTGGTCACGGGACTGGAATGTCTTTAGCGAGGAAAACACTGCAGAAGCAACAGCTGGGAGGCTCTGGGGGCACTTCTCCAGGGGTGGGTGTCTGACAGCGGCCGGGAGCTGGCACGGCACCCTGCTGTGGCTGTGCCATCCTGCCGCGGGCTCCCCCATCCCTGCAACATGCTATTTATCAAACAAGAACATCTGGATTTATTTTTTTTAAAAAACAAAGTTGTGTCCGGATCGACTTTGACGAATTGACATTTTCCAGAGGAAAAATATCTTCTGTTGAAGTGTTGTTCCTGGGTGTAGCCATCCCTTACTGCACCATTTGCAACTCTCCAGGCACTTTGCACAAGGCGATGAATAGTTAAAGATGTCCATAAATCTTACCCTGGCCCATAATAAACAAACACGCTCTTATCAAGTATAGAAAAAATGCATATTTCATCACCGCTGCCTTAAACACAACTTGGAATAAATGCTCGCCTTTAATCAGCCATCTCGATATATAACCAGAGCACAAAAGCTTCGGGGGATGAGGTGCAGAATTGGGCCACAGCTTTTCTAGGTGGCTCTGGGGAAGCAGGGCTGTGGCTGGGCAGGTGAGCCCTTGCAAAACTGCCCTGAAAATTAACATTACTTGGCTTTTCTGTGCAGCTATGCCTTGTCTCCCATTCTCTTCTCTCCACCACCAGAGCCAGAGGTATTTTGCTTCAATGCTCAGCTGGTAGCTGACCTTCCCCCTTGGATGCTGGCCATTGAAAGCAAGCACTTTGATTTGGAAATCAAGATTAAAAAAGAAAAAAGATTAAACAGGAAAGTTTCCACCAGTGCGTGCCGAGATTATGCAGTGATGGATACGTGTTTTTCCACATCTGATAAGAACAAGCGATGTTCTCTGGCTGGGAAGGGCCAGATCTGTGATGTCTTTCACTGCTCATCACATTACTTTTGAGTACCTGTGCTTTGCCATGCTCCCAGTAATACAGCACCCACCATCGTGGCCCTGCTCCCACAGCGCTGCCGGGGCTGGGTGCTGCTGCTCTCCTGCAGGCAGCGGAGGCACGTGAAGGAGACACCACGAAGCCTCGGGACTTTCTTTCCCCTGAGCATCCACTTAGAAGGACTGAGGCATTTTGCATCCCTGTGTGCTGACGGGAGCGCTGGAGGAACTGGTGACAGCAGGGATGGCGGCTGCGGCACGTGTGGCTGTGCCCAGGACTCCTGTCCACCTCTCTGGAGATCGTTGTCTCGTGTGTGTGTGCTCTCCTAGCCAGGCATTCTCTAGGCCCTGGGGAAATAAATTCCCAGGGATGTAGCTGGACTTCACAGCCACCCCCATGGGCTCCTACTGGCATGCCGGACCCCCAATGAGCAAAGGAGTGCTGTTTCTTTCTGGGATTTGTGGTTCACAATGTGAAAGTCGGGTGTGCAGTAGTGCTGGGAATCTTTTGTGCATCTCTGCAGTGCTGCCCAGGCAGTGATTTGGGGTGGTTGGTTGGCCCAGGATGTCATCCCGCTGCCAGTGCTCCTTCCTCCTCCTCCCAGCCGATTCGGGGGGCTGGAGGCAGCCGGGGCTCCCCTCCCTCCCCGTGCTCTGCCTGCCGGCATCACTTGCACGGAGCAGAGCGTGTCCCGTTCTGCTGAGAGGTGCAGGGAAACGCAGAGCAGGCGATGCAGCAGCACCTGCCGTAAGGCACATCTTTGCTTGATGCGTCTCCCACTAACTCACTAGGGAGCCTTCCTGAGCTGCAACAGCCTCACAAGCCTCGTGGCCAATTAACCCCATACAGATTAGCCACCCAGCCCCAGGAGCTGAGACCTCCGCGGTGTGTATTTCCCGGGAGCCTTGTAAAGCTGACAGCTGGTGGGGAGCGGGCTGTGCGGGGTGCTGTGAGGCTGCGGGGATAAATCCCGCACCCCTGCGAGCAGTGAGGGTGCCCAGCACCCAGGGGTGCGGGTGGCCCTCGGCTCTGCGGGCTGGCTCAGGACACTGTGCTACCTCCAGCTGGGCTTTGGTGCTAATGGGGTCGTACAAGCCTGGCAGGCAGCTCCCCAAGCAGCTGCCTGCACCCCTGGGGGCCTGGGGCTGGTCGAGGGATGGAGGGAAGGTCTGTGTCGCTTGTTTTGCTCTTTGTTTTATTTGGGTAGCGATGCAGAGTGGATCTTGTTGGAAAGCCTGGAGCTCTTGCCCTGTCTGTCCCCGTTGGCTCCATCAAAGGCCAGATTGCAGCTTTTTTTCCCAGCACTGTCAGTACCCCAGGGGCTGCCTGGTCTCCAGCCCTGCCGTGCTGTACCCTCCGTGCTGGTGAGGCCTCTCACGGCGGAGCCCGAGCCCAGTGAGGCTGCCCCGGTGCTGAGCATCGCCCCATCCCGCTCCTGGCGAGCCCCGGTTCCTCTGGCTACCCCAGGGCGGGCAGCAGCCTGCCTGTACTGCCTGCTGCCTCTGGAGCCATCAGGATGGAGATGCTTTTGTCTCCTTGGAAGCCTCACGCACTTTAGCGGGAGAAGGGTGTGCTTGCCCTGGCTTTGGGTGAGACCTGGCCAGGAGCTCAGCCCCGGAGCCTCCCGCTGCAGGCAGCGATTGCAGGCAGAGCTGCTGCGTCTCGTAGCTGGTTCCTCTCCTGCTCGCCAGCTCCCTGGGAGCACTGGTGCGTTGCAGATGGGCTCAGTGCCGCTGAGCCGATGACCCTGGGCGTGCGATGGGGTGAAGGAGAGTACGGGCACGTGAAGGGGTTAATCTGGGTGGGCAGAGCTGCGCATCTCTGGGCCCCGGTGCTGGGGCATTTCAAGGGGGTTTTCGAAGCATTTTTGAAGAGTCTGCCCTGCCCTGCAGAGAGCTGGGGGGCAATCGGTGCAGGGACCCGGGTTCAGCCCTTGCCCTGCACTACAAATGAGGGCCTGCCCGGCTCCAGCGGTAACACCAACAACCGCCAAGCTGCGACGGCTCAGCCCTGGTTGTGTTCAAGTGGCAGGAATTCCTCTGGAGACACTGGCTTGCTCTGGGAAAGGTGGGAGCAAACAGAAACACCGGCTTCTCGTGCCTGGGATGTCCTTCTCCAGGCATTGCTGCCTGCAATCCCTCCTCCTGCCCCCCTGCCTGCGTGGCGGAGGGGCGGCAGGGTCCGGGGGGATCCCCCGAACAGAGGGAGGGCAGGTGCTGCCACGGTCCCGGGTTGACATGGGCAATGCCCGGCTCCTCTTGCTTTCCCCGTTTTTTCTCATTTCTCCCCTCCCGCTTGTTTTGCAGAGACTTGCCAACGCAGCGGAGAAGTTCCAGAAGGCTCACCACTGGCAGGACAACATCCGGGTAAGGCTCCGCGGAGGCACCGGCCTCAGGGATGACTCCTGGACCAGGAATGGGCTCCTTGTCCCATCCCTGCTCCCATCCCTCGGCTCTTCCTCCCCTCCTCGCCCTCCCTCCCTCGCGAGTTACCGCTGGCCGTGCAGTGCTGCTCAGCACGCAGGCGGCCCCGGCACCGCCACCTGCCAGCACTAACGAGAGCAAATGAAGCGATTTTGAGCTCGTTTCCAGCCTTGCCTCGGCCTGCACACGCGTAGCAAGAAGGCAGGAGGTGAAGATTGAGCTGGTGGCTCAGCGCTGAGGGTTTGGGGGCCGGGGAGACTCTTACCCCCCCCTGCCATCTCTGGCAGCTGGCGGGTTTGGTGCCGAGCGGGGTCTCGCGTGGGGTGACGGCAGCGGTGGCTCATCCGTGGCACCTGCCAGCGGTTGCGGTGGGGGCTGTTTTCTGGGGGAGGGAGCAGTCTGGGTTGGGAGAGGGAAGATGTGGGTTTAATGATTGCATTTGACTTTGTAATTCTGGCAGTGATAGCGCTCAGCGGGAACCTGAAGGATTCTGTCTGGAAATGCTCTCAAATTATAACAATAATATAAAAGGAAGGAAAGATTGTTTTCCTTCCAGTGCAAACGGAGTCTACAATAAAAAATACTCCTGGGCCTCCCAGCCCCTTCCTCCAGGTTGGGCCAGATCCTGCCCGGCCCTGGGGAACCCCATGTAGTCGCCAAAGGGGCAGCCTGGGGACATCCCCGCTGCCAGGCCTTGCTAGTGTGTTTTGGGGGGTATTTCTCTGTCTGCAACCGTGATCTGCTCAGGGAGGAGAGGAGACGAGGACCTGGAGCCACATCCTGCTCATGCAGACCCTCCTGCCGTTGGCGATGGTCACCAGGGTTTGATGTGGAGAGGAAGAGGTGGCGGGAGCGGAAGAGAAGGCAAGGTGTCGACCTGCTTGGCTTGGCTTTCGTTTGCCACGTGGCCAGCATGAGGTGGACCCTCGTGGCTGGTTCTTGTCCCCCCAGGAGCTGTGTCCTGTAGGTACCCGGCGAGGCTGAGCTCGCAGGGGTCTTCCCATCATTAGCAGAAGCAGCCTCAGTAAGGAGAGGTGAGGTGTCCCCGCTGGCCCTCCCATCCAGCGGACAGTTGTCATTGACACCAGCAGTCACCGAGACCTTTCTGCATGAGAGCGCTGCTGAATTACTGTCACCTTTCCGGAAGGCCAGTGGCGGGGAGGTTGAGAGGATAACAAGGTTTGGTGTGGGCACTGTCTTATGCCAACACCGGTGCCTCGCCAGCACCTTGGCTGCGGGCTCAGGGCTCCCAGGGGAGGCTGGGAGTAGCACCAGGGAAGCCGCGGGCATCTCCCACCAGGCTCTCATCTCCATCCCTAGTGCTGGCCTGATCTTGTGTGTCCTCCGGGTTCAGGAGCCCCAGAGCAGCTCATCCCCGAGCAGCACGCAAAGCTTGGCCTTGGGTACCCCAGGGGCATTGTGGTGGCCCCATGCACCCCACACTGGGCTGGCACCCAGGAGTGGATGCCCTGTGGCCGGGGCACGGGCAGAGCTGGAGCAAGATCCCTGCGTTTTGCAGCAGTCTTCAGTGCTTCTGCTCATCCCCTGGGCCACAGACACAGGACCTCTCTGCAGCCCCAAAGAGCTCCCTCTCCATCCAGACCCGGCTGCCTTCCGTGGCGAGGGAGATAACAGCCGGGATACAAAACACACCGGGAAAGGCTGTAGCGCTGGGGAGCTCTTGGCTCATTTTGCCATTCGTGGCACAAACCTTCCAGAAATCCACTTTCATAGAAAAAATATTTTTAATAGCACTGTTTGCAACCACTTAATCAAGGTAATTAGGAGCGAGTCACCCAGAAACAATGTGCAGCGATGCGTCACCACGGAGCTCGCCACAGCTTTATCAGGACAGCCCAGACCCGGCTGGGACACTTGATGGACTGGCCCAGCTCTGCGCACAGCACCCAGGGTGCTGGGCGTTTGTTCCCCCTGAGCAGGCAGCCCTGCCTGCATCGGCCCTGGTTCCCGGGCAGAGCAGAGGGACGGAGGGGCTGTGTAAATGGCCCTCGCTGCTGGGGTTGAACCTCCTTTTGCCATCCTTCACCCGTAAAATGGCAGGGCACGGTCAGACCTGCGTGCAGCATTGGCGCTGCCGCTGCCCCCGGCTTGTCGCTGGTGCTGGCATGGGCAGCGGGCAGGGAAGGCGGCAGCACAGCATCCTCAGCTCCTCCTCTCCTCCCTTCCCACCGAGCAGCTTGTTCCTTCTGGCCACAGCAATCCCCTCCTCTCCCAGCGTGTCGCGTCCTAACCTTGCGCCGGAGTCGATGACAGATTGCGGCGAGCGCGGTTATTTTTGTGTTTCCATCTGAAGGCGCGCCGGCAGATGCTGAGTGTTTGCGCTGCATTAGTGCTAATGGCAGCCCCATTAAACTTCGCTGCAGATGGGTTGCTATGGAAGTCCGGGGGAAAATGAAGCAGGAGCAGGAGCCCGAGCGGCTGGGATGCTGCTGCCAGCAATCACTCATGACCCATCTCTACAGGGAGTTTCTTTTTTCTCGCTTCTTTTTGGTGTTCCCAGCCATACACTGGCCATTCTGGCCTTTCTGAAGGGGTTGAGTTCAGCTTCCCACCTCAGGGGGCTTTGCAAAGCATCTCCCTGTTCCCAAAACACCCCTCCACCCCCACGCTGTCCTGCCCTGTCCCTGCTCCTCATCCTCACCCACCCTCAGGCCTCCTGTGTCTCCCGGCCGTGCCAAGCCGGGGCCATGTCCCTGCACGTCCCCAGAGCTCCCCTGGACACCGGAGCACTCTCCTTGGCCAAAATCAGTCTTGTCCCCAAGGTCACCCATGCAGCGGCAACCCAGGCCACCCCTCACATTGTCCCTCCAGCTTGTTTCACCTTGGGGCCGGGTGGCAGCTCGGGGTGACATGGTGGGCAGGGACAAGGGGACAGCGGGGCAGGCTGCAGCGTGGGGCCGTTGTATCACCCCCGGTGATTTGGAGGGGGAAGAGGCCGTGCCCTTCCCCGCCTGCACAGCGAGGGTCTCTCGGGGATGCACGTTCGCCCGCCGGCAAAGGCTGGCAGAGCCCCGGAAAAGTGAGCGCTGGGTCCGGTTGCCACGGGGCAGGCTCCCACCACGGGGCACTGCAACCGCCTGGCACTGGTATGATAAGAGACCCCAAAAAACTCCCGGTTTTCCCAGTGAGAAGCTTCTGGCCTCCGGGCTTGCAGCCAGGGCTCTGCGGGGGGGTTCACCGCAACAGGCTGGCTCCACTCTGTGCAGAGCCGCAGGGGTCTGTCCCTCAAGGGACATCAGGGCTGTCCCCCTGTTCTGGATGTCCCCAGCCCTGTCCCCCAGCCGTGGCAGGGGTGCTGAGCCCCACGTGCAGACCGTCCCCAGCAGCAGATGGAGGTGCCAGGGCTGCAGCCCACACTGCCATGCTGTTTACCAGGTTTCCGTCCTCTGTTTGCCGCGCTGCCCAGGCGAGGGACCTGCAGAATATATCTATAAAAATGCCGGAAGGTCACGCTGAGTTTTTTGCTGCCATCCTTTGTATCCATCCTCGCTGACAAGCTGCCGTGCTGCCCGTCAGGCATCCCAGCCAGCTCTGTGTTCTCCCACCTCCTCTCCACCCACGTGCTCTGCTTTCCTCCAGGGTTTTCCAGTACCATGGGTTCTTTTCCAGGCCCTCAGCCCCATCCCAGCACCATCAGCAGGGGCTCGGGTGTCCCGCACCCCCACGGCGCACGGGAGCAGAGGCCGTGCTGACCTGGGGGACGCCGTCAAAGGCACAGGCCTGTGCCACCAGCCGTGAAATGCGTCCCAGGGCATCGTCATCACTGCGTGTCAGTCTGCTGGGGCTGCCGGAGCTATTTGTCCCTCTAAGGGACGCTCCGAAGCTGCAGAGAGCCATCCCCTCATGTATGTGTGCTTGGCAGGATTATATAAATTGCCTTTAAAAGTTGACTTCTTTATAAGCCATTTTCTGCTTCATAAAATGTTTATTACTGTTGTTTTTCTCCCAGTTCTTCTTCCTCACTGCATTTTCCATTGCTACACTGGGAAGCTCCCCTCTTGCTCCGCCTGCTGCCCCCCTGCCTCCCACCTTTCAGGAGAGGAAAGGGGCATTTGAAGGGTCAGAGCCCAGCAGGCCCTTTCTCCTTGGGGAAAAAAAAATAGCTATACATTGAGCTGCAGATGTAAGAGCTGCTAGGGACAGGGTTTAACTGCTGGGCGCAGCAGGGGTGGTTCTGGGGTGCGGTGGTGTGCGCGGAGGTGGCAGAGGGAGAACGGGTGCCGGGCAGCCCCACGCCGCTGCCTCCATCCATAACCCCCATCTGCAAGCACGCAAGCAAATAACAAAGCCCAGATAATTTCAAGCTCCATTAGAAACAAAACTCCAGGGAAAACGGGATCACTGTTTGCCAAATGGGGAAGGACAGGAGGAATAACAGAGATGGTGCTGCCGGCCACCCAAGAAAGGCGAGGGATAAAGCAGGGGAACGTGGCGGTGCAGGTGGATGCCCCTCCGTGGCCGTACAGCCCTGGATGCAGCATCCCTCCGGGCATGGGGGCCTGCTGACCGGCTGCTCCGTCCGGCACCACCGCGGTGCATCTGGCACGTGTCTGCCGTGGGAGCGGCGGCTGTGCCACGCCGCGCGTGGGCGCTGGCAGCTGTTCCTGTGGGTTTGCCACGGCAACGCAGGCAGGGCTTTGTGTTCAAAGCGGTGTTAGAAGGGCGAACGTCAGCTCCTTATCCCCGTTTCGTTTTTCTCCTTCTTTAATTACAGATCCTACTTATCGGCCGAGAACAGAAAGATCGTCGCTGTAACCTTGCACTTGCCCTTGTAGAAGGTTTACCTAAAAAGTTAGAAAATAAAATCAAATACTCTAATTTGCAGTCGTCTTGCCATTTCAAACCCAGTTTTCATTACAGCACAGAAAGTGCATTGAAGCTGTGTTTATAACCCCCTTTTAGATAACAAATCACATTTTCTT